ATCATTTTACACGGAAAATAAAACTATAATGACCGAAATAAAGACATATTCGCAAATAATGGTGACGTTTGGTATATGTACAGCGCTTGCTAGACAGAGTTTTGAGCATTTACGTTGAGGTGCTCGGCACGACAATAGTCAGTATTTAATGTTCTACTTATCTCCTATACTGGTCTTTTAAATATTCACTATTAGAAATGAGCTGGTCCCGTGGTAGTTAATCGTTACGGTAGGCAGGATGTGTGCAGATCGCAGCACTACACATTATGTCCCGACGGACTATCGACGTAGTATTTCAACACAGTAGTTGGGTTTCGTATTTAAACTTATAAATCCTATACCTTTAAACGAGCAATTCTTATATATATATATAATCGGAATCTCGGAAACGGCTCCAACGATTTTCATAAAATTTAGTGTCCAGGGAGTTTCGGGGGCAATAAATCGATCTAGCTAGGATTTATTTTTAGAAAATCTCTTTTTTCCGTGTTTTAGGCAATGAAAAACTGCTACAATATCGTTAGAATAAGAAGGTAAATTTTGACAGTTTATTAATGATTACAAATAGCTGAATTGGTATATTGGGCGGTTACAAAATCGTAATATCATGGTTCGAGCCCAGACCGACCGACCGACTTTTTAATTTTTTTTAAGTTCCTTTCTTTTTTTGAGAAAATCTATTTTTTCGAGCCCTTTTTTTTAGTATTTTTTAAAAACACGAAAATTTAAATTAAACTAATTGCACTCATGATTGTTTATTCAAATAACCAGTTCAGTTTTTTCTATTATGTCGCTAAGATCAAAAAATATTATTCGTATTTCATCAGTATGTAATTTGTAATAAAATATAATTTCCAAAACACACGAATTAAAAAAAAACCGAGCGAAAAATACCGAGCAAAGCTCGGTCAACCGGGTACTAAAAAGTCCCTATTGCCCACAACACTCACCATATCGCAAGCGTAGCTCATAGCTGCAGTGCAAATACCAATGGCTCAATATTTCACATTTATCGACAACCTAGCGTAGCAGCGCCACGACTCTTTACAAAATGTATAGCAAATGGAAAATCGAACTCTGTACGTAAAGCGTTACAGTGTCGTTAGTGGCGTCAATTTAAATTGTATGGCGTTTGTGTCGCTTACGTTACACCCTCCATTTAACACTTTTGACTTAGGCCATATGCTAAAATAAACATCAACGCCGCTTCGCTGCACGCTTGGTGCTCAGGTTTTAGTTTCAACTCAGAGGTACTATGAGGGAGTTTAATGCCGTGTGGTATCTGTTGGATATTTTTAGTTTAAACATGCCAACTTACTCGTGACTGTGAACATGCATTTCGTCAAAAGCGGTTGGCTGCTGTAAAATACACAAAGTCATTCAAGATTATGCAGTAATTTACGTCTGTTAGATGGTTATACCGCCATATATCGGACAGATATAAGATCATTCTGAGGCTATCCACAGTCACCTCTTACGATACCCACGAAATGAAATGTACGAATGGATATTCTTATCACCACTACAAGGATATCTACTGTAGCTACATTGACAATAACGAACATTTATATTATTAAATGATCCCTAGTAATCAAATATCGCTTATAGTCCACCCTTTCCGGCTTGCTTGTAAGGCGACTAGTGCTAGACACGGGTGCGCTCGTCTCTCTGTTCTCTATGTAACGAGTGATATTTACTTTGTCATTTTGTTTGAGTTTTTGACTTTTATTCAATTAATTTAATTTAATTTAATTTATTTAAAAGACGTTACCCCTACACTAGGATTTTCTCCTGTATCGTGGGGGCAGTTTACAAACATAAATTGCACAAGGAAAAACATCCAGACCCGGAACAATTATTTGTAGGCCATACAAATACTTGATCCGTGCGGGATTCGAACCCGCGACCCCAGCGCAGCCACTCATAGCTAAGCCACTTTGCCACGGAGTCGTCAATTGAATTGAATCTTTTTTAGAAACAAATTAGTTTTCTTAAACAAAAAAAAAAATAATGTAATCTTTAAATGTGTAGGCAGAACCTAAAGAGCATCAAGCTATTCGACCTCGTATACCCAAAAATATAGGTTTAGATATAAATTTGGTTAAAGGAATTGATAGGTGACTAGCCCATGACCTACTAAACCAAACTCAATAATCTATTAATAATAATAATATTAACATTACACTTGGCATATTCTTGTTTTGTTATATAAATGTAATAATGTCTCATATAAAATGAGTACCAGATCAATATGGAAAAAACTAAACAACATAATATATATTATACTCAACTTCTGTAATTAAAGCAACATTTATTCAAAAAGGTGCATAACGCTAAGTAAATTGAATACAATCTTCGGGCACATCATCAGATCACATCAGGTGAAATAGTACTTCAGTGCTGGTTCACGCCAGGTAAAAAATAAGCAGGTCTTTATTAGTCAAGTACAGCGTAAATGTAGATTTCGCAATAATATTTTGTATGCTAAAACTAAAAAAAAAAAATTAAATTAAAAGAAATTTTATAAAAAAAGACGTGTGGCACTCGGGGACTGCCGCGGTAAAGCTATTGCATAGCATTTTGTATCAACTTATGCAATTATAATTATTTATTTATTTTATTTATGCAGTATTTCTTTTTCTTTGATATTAATTCAAGTTACTTAGGTTAATCAAATCAAATTCAACCAGATTTAACCGAACCCGCGTTATAACGAACTCACTAATTGTGAAAAATACTGTATCACCGGACCGCGTCGCAAAAAAACTCAGGTTCGCGCAGTACATACGTCAGGGCGGCCGTACGGCAATTATATTAACAAGACGCGCAACTACTCAGTTCCAGGCTTCACGGCAAGATTTGTCACTTATTATTTATTGTCCAATTAATTGTCTTTAAGTTCAAATGGCATGCCCTATTAACATAAGTCTAAGACAAAACAAGGAGACTTTCAATATATGAACAACCCGGCTTCGCGTTTGTGTTAGTAAAATAAGCTCTTATTAAGTTAGCTTAGAGTTTAAATTAGTGTGAGCTATACGCAATCCTTGTGACATAATGAATGTAGGTAGTATTTTATTGACTCCCATTGTCTCGGCCGACGCGACGGTTGGACCGTAAACGTAAACAGATGACGATTTCTAACGATAATGAATATAATATTATAACAGTCAATGGTTCATTATTCTAATGTGTTATAAGATTAAAAATATATAATGAAATATATTATCTGTTGTATGTTATAACGCCCAACTTTAGGGGTGACCGACCGCGCGCACAAATGCAGCTAGCCTCCCACTCCCGCACCTCACTAATCGTCGCTTCACACCGCTTGAGATAAGACGATCTACTATCAGGCGCTAACAAACCCCCGTCCCGGACATAAGGACCTATGTCCGTGAGTAAATTGGCAATTAGAATACGCTTTGTATTGTTGGTTTTTACAAAAACGATCAACTGGGCAAATGATATGGCCCTTTGCTTTGTGAAAAAGCATTACAGTTAAATAAAAAATTAGGTGACGGCGGCTCGTTTTTCGCAAGTAACGGATGGTTATATAGATTTATATCTCTTCATGGAATTTAATCAATGTTTATTAAAAAATAATAATTTCTTAATAAACATTGATTTTCGTTGAAATTGTTGTTTTTAATAAACACATAACATTATGTATGTACATATGTACTACAAATGCACAAAACCTGCTTTTCTTCATACATTCGATCATCCGGATTTTCGATTATCCGAATCCTAACGGCAACAATTAGTCCGGTTAATCGAGTATATATATACATATTGAGAATCTAAATTGAGAATTTAAACTATACGCGTGTGTGTGTTTGTGTGTATATAAAGAGGGCAACTTTTAATATCGCTCATTTTAATATCAAAAATTTTGGTTATCTTTATAGCAGTATTATATTTTCAATTCAAAATTAGTACTGCATTTGTGATAATAATAAAATGTAGGTATGTATATAGAGTACTCACTCATTTTCTTTCACTATTTTTTCGTGACTTTCTTCATTAATAATAAATGCACTTTGTTCATTCATATTCAAAATTTCAAAACACTTTATACACAAACACCGTGTCGAAGACTGAGGAAAAGAAACGACGTTAGACCATCGTTAGACAATGCACGGCCTTCAAGCCACACCTCCGTGCCCGTCGGAGAGCGTGAGGTTTTTTTCGTTACGAAATTTCTGGATTTTCCCGCACTCAAGGCCCGCGATAGAAGCTATGCAATAGCTTAAAAATCTAACATGTCTTACTTAATACCCAGTTTCAATGACACTTAAATAACAATCGAATGGAATATTATTTAATTTTATTCATCGTTGTTGTTCGATGACAGTCCGCTGCAATGTGTTAGCCCGCAGATTTTTACTATGTACCACAGAAGTTAAAATAACTTTATTTAAAGCCTTCTGCCAAACAATGTACACGTGTAATCTGTTGGTTGATTATACGCAGGGGGAGTTTAGCGCACTTCAAGTACAGTATAACAATGCCTTCAGGGTGATGTTGGGTCTGCCGCGATTCTGCAGCGCGTGGGGCATGTTTGATGCGCACACGGATAGCTTCGAGATGGTGTTGCGCAAAAGGTTGCTTCGCTCATGCGCAGAATACGTGGTAGCTTACATAGTGACAAACCAGATTGTCCTGTAATGAGACACTGCGTGACTATGCGTGTAAACCTAGTGCCTCAGGCAGGCCTAGTTTGTACTTACACTTCTTCTTCTTCTTCTACCTAGCGTTTATCCTGGTTGCTCATCCCGCCCAATGCGGGAGAACCCAAGGTTCACTTTCCTACACTTCCTCCTCCACTTTGCCCGGTCTTCGGCGTCCCTTGCAACTAGCCCATTGGCGCGCATGTCATCCTGCACGACATCAAGCCAGCGTTTCTTGGGCCGTCCTCTACTCCTGGTACCAGGTTGGGTCATGTCCAGGCATTTGTTTCCCATGTAGTTTGCCGCTCGTCGTAAGACGTGGCCGTTCTAGTGGAGGCGATTTTCCTTCAGCTTGTCAGCAATGTCACGGACATAGAGGCTGCCGCGGATGTATGTATTCCGTACATGGTCTTTACGCGTGACTCCACACATCCACCGCAGCATGTTCATCTCCTTCACATTCAAAAACTGCCGTTGTAGCTCCAGCACCGGCCACACCTCACTGCCGTACGTAAGGACAGGCCTTATGATGGTCTTATAGACGTGTCCCTTCAGTATGACCGGCATTTTGGGGTCACAAATGACACCCGTCACCTCGCGCCATTTCGCCCAGGCCGTTGATATACGGGCCTTGATGTCGCGATCGATGTCCCCGGACGCATTGAGCACAGATCCGAGGTACCTGAAGTTGTCCGTGCGCTCGACGGTGTCGTCGGCAATACGGAGAGACGTCAGATCTGTGCTGTTGCAGGTCATATACTCTGTCTTCGCCACGTTTAGCTTCAGCCCGCCGTTCTCAAGCACCTCCCTCCATGCGTGCACGCGTATGGTGAGCCGTCCTTTGTCCCCATCTACCAGTGCGATATCATCAGCGTACATAAGCAGCCAAGGCTGCGGTAGTTTCTGTACGCAGGGTGACAGTTCGTCTAATATCACACTGAAGAGATAGGGGCTTAAGACGGAGCCCTGATGCTCGCCTAAGGTTATGGGGAAGGGGGAGGTATTACCAACAGCGGTCCTGACTATTGAATCGGAGTTGCGGTACATGTCACGTACGATTTCCACGTAGGTCTCAGGTACCAACTTCGACCGCTACGCCCACCAGATCATCTCCCTAGGAACACAGTCAAAGGCGTTCTGCAGGTCTAGGAATAAAAAATGCAGAGGCATATTCTTTTCCCTATACTTCTCCATGGGGATCCTTAGGGCGAATATAGGGTCCACGGTAACGCGACCTGGTTGGAAACCGTACTGGGAGTCCGATAGTGTACACTCCTGTCGGATACTGGTGTCAATAATGCGCTCGAAGGGTTTCATGGTGTGTGACGTCACCTTTATGCCGCGGTAATTACCGCAATCCTGAACGGACCCTTTACTCTTGTGGACCGACGTTATTATACTAAGCCGTCACTGATCGGGCATTATTCGGTCGCTCAGGATTCTATTATAAAGGTTAGTAAGAATGCACACACCGCGAGCCCCAGCGCTTTCCACGCTTCAATTGGCACCTCGTCCGGTCCGACAGCTTTCTGATTCTCCATGTGACGAAGAGATGCGAGGACCTCGTCATCGTAATCGGTGGCACGAGTCCATGGTTCAGGAGGTGTTAGGGAGGGTGCACTTCCCGGTGATGAGTATTCAGCAAAACGTGTATATAAGAGCGCCATCTCTCCTTCACGGCACGATCATCGTACATGATGCTCGCCATTAGGGCCGTTGACGCTGCAGCAGCGAGTAATATCTTGCGTTGCTTTGGCCCTAGAGAGCGCCAGTTTATATATGAGCTTGTGCCCCTCAGGAGTGTCCAACTTAGCATATAATGGTTACATGTGATCACGCCTGGCTTGGCTACAGCTTTCTTGGCAGCTCTATTCGCTGTCTTGTAAGATGCGCGATCTTCAGGAGATTTGGTCGCTTGCCACGTCTTGAAGAGTGCTTTCTTCTCCCGTAATGAACCCTGGACTGTAGCGTCCCAACACCAGGTCTCCTTGTCGATTTTGCGACCCCCTTTTTGCCACGCCGAGGACTTGCTTTGTCGTCTTTGTGATTGCTGTCTGAATGGTTTTCCAGCACTCTTCGACGGACTTGTCTGCTGTGTCGAGACTAATATCCCCAGCGGCAGAGTCAAACTCTGAGTATCTGGTTTGATCCAGCAGCCACCACTTGATTTGACGGCGGCAACGTTCGGCGTGTCTGCGACGGGGTTTCACGCAGAGGTCCATGACAAAAAGTCGGTGTTGGGCAGTGAGACACTCACCGGGTATGACTTTACAGTTGGCCACGTGACTGATATGACTTCTCCTGGTCAGTAGATAGTCGATTTTAGTGGCGTTCCAACCGCTCCTCTATGTAATCAGGTGCTCGGTTTTCTTTTTGAAGAACGTGTTCACCACGGCCAGGTCAGCTGCAGTACAGGTTTCGAGAATGGTTTCTCCCTCTGAATTTCTTCGGCCGTAACCATGGCTGCCGTGGACACGTTCATACTCCCCCCTGCACCTCGCGCACATGACCGTTCAGGTCGCCACCCAAAACGACATCGTGGGACAACGGTATGCCGCATTATATTATCCACGTCGCTTCAGCCGACCTGTGGGGGGTAGGCACTTATTAAGTGGGTCACGACCCCTCAATAAGCAACCTTACTACCATTAGTCGGTCGCATATGCGTCTAACTTCCAAGACGCTATCGTGGAAATGCTCGGCGAGCACCACCGCCACACTGTTCTCCCCACCAGAAGAGCCTGTATAGATCGGCTTGTAGCCATGCCCAATATACCGGCTCCTGTTGGCTTTCCACCGTGTCTACTGCAGGAACGCCACTGCCACTTTACGCCTGGCAAGTATGGCCGCTAGTTCTGTGGAGCGTCCCGTAAGCGTGCCAATGTTCCAGTTTGCAAAGCGAATCTTCTTAGTTGGTGCTAACGTTTTTAGCCGGGCTCGAACGGGGCCCGGTAGCCCTCGCATACTTTTCGCAGGGTTAAGGCGATCCCCATGCGCGTCATTATGCGGCGACGCCTTAGTCCTAACCGTATATCTCTTTCTTTTACTCTCCATTTTTGAGTGGCTTAGTGCCAATTACCGGGGCGATTGCCGTCTGACCCCCGAACCCCTAGAACGAATCCCAGAGAAGTGGCATCGCCAGAGCCCTTTCCGTTGTCCAGCAGATGCGCCGCGTGCAGGCGGGGTTGGCTTGGGCTCCAAGATCTTAGCGGAGCCCCTTACACCCAAACTTTGTTTTTTGTACTTACACTAATTATTCCTAAATATTACAAACATAGTTATAACTTTTGTGTACCTACTAACCATTATGGATGTTATGTCTGAAATAAAGATATTTTATTTTATTTTTATTTAATACAAAAAACGAAATTATTTTACGAGTGTTGGTATGTTTGTAGTATAGTATTTCTAAATTCATTTAATTAAAATAAAATTAAAAACGAATTTAATGGAGGCGAATTTATTTACTAAAATTATTCATCTGTGCCTTGACCATTGACAGTGTTTTGTTAATATAGAATAAGGGTGAAAAGCGACCACACAATCCACCTAATGATAAATGAATGCCATAAACATCACCATTTAACATCGATTAAGAATTAAAATGCCGATGCGTTGTCGCCCCTGAGGACTAAGATGGAATGCCTCGTTTCCAGTAAAAAGGGTCTACGGTTCTCTTCATTCACCATATGAAACACAGCATCATTGAGCTGCTATTTTACGTCAGTATTTTGTAAGAGCGTGGCCCTACCCCGTGTTATGACGACTATGGGTAAGTAAGCGCTTTTATCTAACATTACTTTATTTATTATAAGCGAGTCAGAAATACGCTCTTAGTTACTCAGGAATTTAAAATTTCACTGGAGAAGGCTACAAAATTATGTGAAATCAAGTGAATAATTCCAATCTAAACGTGCATTTTTATTTTTATATGTAAAAGTACTCATATAACAATTTCCCGCGCCATCTGAATCATTCAAATATTCTTCAGCTGTTAACAATAACTGCGATTGGATCAGGATATTGAAAATTTTTGATGCCATCTGTGTTTGTTAACAGACACATAAATTCCTCGAATTGCTGAGTGATGTTTTTCCCTAAGTTCTTATTCTTTTTTTTTAAAATGCTAACCATACACTGGTATTTTCATATGCCATTTTATGTAATGACAAGTTTTTTAGTATACAATTTACGGAATAATACAGAAATTGCAAACGAAGGTACAGGTAATCTAAACAACGTCCATGTGTTATAGAAAAATGAAAACGGCCTCTTTGCAATTGTAAAATGTCACATAATATATCATTCTCTCGCGTCGCTAAATCCTATAGATGTATATGTTTGTCTCTTTTTTAGTGTCGCTTTTTAATTTCATCGAGTTTTATGTCATAACGATTCGAAGTTTCACTTCAAAAATGTCCGGAATATAAGTTCAAGAGTCACACTATACCTTTCAATTATTATAACTAGCTATAATTAACATCCCAGATGAGGATAACTTTTGGCAATATACCTATGTTAGCCCTTCAATTTAAAATTATAAGTGACTTATAAATATTCGCTTGCTATTGCAATAGTTTCATCTTTCAACTGTAACACTGATGTCATGAAGGAATAATTTTGAAATATTTCCAGTACCATCAATAATATAAATATTTTTATAGTATTCAGTACTATAAATATTTTTTTGCAATTTTTATTTCTGAAAGCACCATTAAAATACCTCGCGTGTTTAAATTTAATTAATTTACCGCCACAAACTAGTTAACTCGTGAGCAATGACGCGACTCACAATTCACGGCGTACTTAAGATTTTTAGTTTAATATATTAGGTGTTTTAACATAATATGTTCGTCAATAAAGCGTAAGGATAATTCACGGTACATCGTGACGCGACGGGGCCGGGCCCCGGCCGGCCTGGTCCTGGCCCTGGCCTAGCTCTAGCCGGGACGCGGTCACATCTTAGTATACTTTTTGTACGAAATAATTCATGCTTGACCATGGCCCGGGCGGGCCTCTGCTGTGTGCCATCGGGACTCGGCTGGGACATGGCGTCAAAATGTCGGGGGGTATTTTTCCCGGCTCCGGCTCGGCCCGCACTCGACACATTGTAACATGAACGGTACAACGGGTGCCCGGAGGGCACTCGGCGACAAATCTTTGAAATGTGGGCAGCTCAACATTAAAATGGAAAATTAAAAGTTGCTAGAATGTGTGCGCAAGTATCCTGTAGCTTACGACATCATCCATTAAAAATATTTAGATAATAAATACAAAAATATTATTCGGAAAACAATATTAATTCAAGTTATGAACATTGCATATTTGCTCAAGTATCACGTTTATCGACTGGTGATATCACTAGTTGACACAAAACAATCACAGACACGGCCGTACAAAGAATACACGCAAACATACCCCGGGCGGTGTACCATGAATGACAGGCCCGGTCGGAGCACGATGGACGTGCTCCGGGTGAAGTCCGGCTCGGTCACGACAAGGTGTAAGGCGAATCATCCTTAATGCTTTTAAATATGTATAGTTATACTCTTTGCCGTCTAATTCTAGCTGGTTATATCTACGATTGAATTGTCTCTTTTGGTCGTTTCGGACAGCTGTCTATTGCACGGAAATATTAAAAATCTGTACACCTACTCGTTCAACTTACACGTGATATAGGTAATCCAACTATTTAATTAACTGCACTCTGCACAAACGTTGTCTACAGTTTAGATGCAAACTTTCCTGGACAATAGACAGATACGCTGTCCGGTAACCTGAGTGGCTGTCAATGCTGAGTCGTCATACAAATTGGCCCTCTCAATTTTAACTTGTATAAACGACAGTAGCCTAACGGCAGGGTACTGGCCGCGAACTCTCGAAGTCGTGGGTTCGAATCCGCTATTCGACTACTGCCGTGAATAACTCCTAGCATAAGCATTTCCCTGAGATAATTATAAAGCATTATGGAAAGGGAAAAATCTATTCATGTTGAAGTAGCAGTTCATAATTTCAACTACGTCACGTCTTCCAACATTTCGTTACGTACACATCGTAGGAGCATTGCATCGCATACGTTGAATACGTGGGACCAAACTATTTCTCCTTTTATACGAAAATGAATATATGGAAAGAAGTGTCAGCTACAAAAATAAGCTTTTTGTATCAAGATAATTTTTCCATTTGTCTTAACATTTTACAGACTACCGAACGTTCAATAAAGTAAAAAGTCATGGACGTATACATATTAACTGGAGCAGAATTTGGTTATTAAAAACAAATGCGATTAAAAATAAATTTTACAAAACTGCTTTGGGGGATTTAGCCCATTTATTTTAAAGAAAAACATTATTTAATTTAGTCCAAATTTGTCTTTGATCCGCCTGAATAAGTTTAAGTTATGAAATTATATTTAACGAAAAGCCGATTATGGCTACAGCTACATGGAGACGGCCCCCAGTTCCCGTCGGCCCCGCTATTCCTGGCTACGATGCCGACCATAGTAATGTTAAAGACCACTGCATGACACGGGCATTTCCTA